AGAGGGCACAGGTTGGGCTGGGGGCCCGCCCCCCCCCCCCGAGTGCACAAATTTTGTGCACCAGGCCTCTAGTATATTGATAAAAGGCTGAAACCACCAAGAAGATATAACAATTATAAGTATATATACACCTAAAAACAGAGACCAAAAGCTATAGGAAGCAAAACTGAAGGGATAAAAGAAAGATCTATAATAATACTTGGAGACAATATCCTATTTTCAATAATGGATAGAACAACTAGACAGAGGATCAATAATGAAATAGAGGACTTGAACAATACTATAAAGCAACTAATTCTAACAGACAAATATAAAACTCCCCATTTAACAACTGCAGACAAGTCGTTTTTCTCAAGTGCACATGCAACATTCTCTGGAATAGACCACATATCAGGCCTCAAAAAAAAACATTAAAAATTTAAAATATTATTATCCTTCAAAGTATCTTCTCCACAATGGAATTAAAGTAGAAATCAATAAAGAAGACTGACAAATTCATAAATATGTGAAAATTAAACACCACACTTTTAAACAATCAATGGATTAACTAAGAAATTACAAATGAAATAAAAAAAATATTTTTAGAAGAGCAAAATAAAAACTTAATACCAAAATTTATAGAATGTAGCAAAAACAGTGCTCAGAGGAAAGTAGCCTAAATTTAGATTTTAGGAAACTAGAAAAGAAGAACAAACAACTCAAACTAGCAAAAGAAAGGAAATGCTAAATATTAAAATGGAGAAAGAGAAAATAGAGAATAGAAAAAATAAAAATATAATTAAGAAGACCAAAAGTTGTTTACTTGAAAAGTCAACAAACTTTATAAATCTTTAACTAGAGTGACTAAGAAAATAAAAGAGAAGATGCAAATCATTAAATTATAGATGAAATAGGGGGCATTATTACTAATCCTAGAGAAGTTAAAAAAAAATATAAAAAGAATACAGCAAATAGTTGTATTCCAATAAATCAGATAACATGAACAAAATCAACTAATACTAGAAACACATAAACTATGAAAAGTGACTCAAGAAGAAATAGAGAATCTGATGAGACTGATAATAAAGATATTGAAACCTTCCAACAAAGAAAGCCCAGAAATGAGGGCTTCACTGGCAAATTCAACCAAACATTTTAAAGAATAATTAACACCATTTTTTCTCCAATTTCTACAAAATAGAAGATAAGGCAACACTTTGTAATTCATTTTGTGAGACCAGGATTACCCAGAAACTAAAGCCAGATAATGACATCACAAAAAAATGACAAGTATGAACAAATATCACTTATGAATATAGGTGCAAAAATCTTAAACAAAATACTAGCCAACTAAATCCAGTATCATAATATACACCATGACCAGGTGATTTATCTCAGGAATGCAAGAATGGTTCGACATACAAAAATAAATCAACATAATGCATCACACTAATAGAATAAAGATTTTAAAAAACACAATAATCTAAATTGATGCAGAAAAAGCATTTAACAAAATATATCACTCTTTCATGCTAAAAGTACTCAACAACCTAATAATACAAAGGAAGCTTTCTCACCATAATAAAGGGGATTGATGAAAAACCCACAGCTAACATATTACTCAATCATAAAAGAATGAAAGATTTCCATTTGAGATCAAGAAAAAGAGAGGACTCTGGCCAGGTAGCTCAGTTGGTTGGAGCATCAACCTGATACACCAAGGTTACAGGTTCAATCCCTGGCCAGGACACATACAGAAAGCAACCAACGAATGCATAAATAGATGGAACAATAAGTTTCTCTCTCTCTCTCTCTCTCTCTCTCTCTCTCTCTCTCTCTCTCTCTCTCTGTTTCTCTAAAATCAATCAATAATTTGTTTTAAGTGGAAGGGGTCAATGGGGAAAAAAAAGGAAATCTGTAACACTTTCAATGATACAGATAAATTTTAAAGTAAATAAATAAATAAATAAAATAATAAGTGCCTTGCAAAAAAAAATGATCTACAAGTAAAAATAATAATAATAAATTTAAAAATGGAAAAGAGAGGATGCCTGCTTTTTTTTTTTTTCTACTCACATTCAACATTGTACTGGAAATTCTATCTAGAGCAATTAAGCAAGCAAGAAAATAAAAGGTGGGGAAAATTGGAAAAAAAGTTATCTCTATTCAAAGATGACATGATCTTATATAGGGAAAATCCTATAGAACTCTTGCACAAAAATGTAAATCTAATAAATGAATTCAGCAAAGTTGCAGAATACAAGATTAACATCTGAAAATCAGTTATAGCTTTATACACTAATCCTATATAATAAAAGGCTAATATGCAAATCAACCGAACTGTGGAATGACTGACCACCAGGGGGCAGACGCTCAACACAGGAGCTGCCCCCTGGTGGTCAGTGGACTCCCACAGCGGTAGCACCACTCAGCTAGAAGCCTGACTCACGGCTGGCAAGTACAGCGGCTGTGGCGGGACC